CAGCCCTGGCACTGCACCAGAGCCTTGAACTGGTTCCAGTGCGGTGCAAGGGCTGCGACCTGTTAGTTCCAGCCCTGGGACCCTTCAGGGCTATGAATACCTGGTTTTCAACATGATCCTAGTCTAGAAGAAACCTACAAGTGAAAGATCCAGGATCCTTCCTTCTACTGCGTGTGGCTTTTCTCGTCCCACGTGGAGGCTTGCTACAGCACAGCCTGATGTCACATCTTGGTGAGAACTGCAAATTCCTCATATTGTCTCCATGGAGCAGTCTGACAATAGCTGAACACATGTTACTTAATAAGATCTGGAGATATTCCTCATGCAAAAGGTCATAACTTTGCTATGATACAAGCACACTTAGCATGTGTTTTACTGCTTGAACTTGCAGTCGCTGGCATGTTAAGCACATTTAACATATGCTAAGCATAAGGTGCAACATAGCCCTTAGACAGTCGTATCTTGTGTGGACTTTCAGAGATTGGCAATAGAGGTATTTGGGTGACACGTAATTTCAAAGGACGTATCACCAATAGCAGAGCAAATGTAAAACGACTATTTGACACAAGTGCCACGTAATAAGCAGTCAAGAATAGTAAAAGCAAATACAATCTACTTGGGCACATGGCACAGTAAGAAATTAAAGCATTAAGAAGTTAAGAGGTGCTAATCTTAGGCAGTATTAGGATAAAGAAATAAGGAATAACCACTAGGCCAATATGTCTGTCTTACGTTTAACTTAAAATATCTGCTCCCTGCTCAATCAGGCACAACGTGATTCAATTTATTTATTACTTTTATTGATTATAATTTAGATATAATGTAATATATATTGATAATACATTATCTATATACACTTTTTTTTATTAAATGATAATGTGTAGCTCTCCTAAATTTGCAGATTCAAGAATCTTGCACCCCTTGAGGCCAATGGGAGTTTTGCTATTTGCATTAATGGCTGCAAGATTTAAGCCTCATTAGCTAGGGTTTGTCCAGCACTTTAAACCACTGTTATTAATGCAGTTTATTTGGATGATCCAAGATACTATAGCAGCCTATTATCTTCTGAGATTCGGTCTCAGTCCTCTGAAACTCAGTTTCCCCTGTTTCATCTCATGACCCTGATTCTTCCTCCTATCCCCTTTTTTCCCCTAACATGCAATCAGGAGTTGATTCACCTCGCATTAAAGTCAAGGAGAGTTCTTCCAATGAATTAAAACAGTGGGGCCAACCATTTTGGCAGGCATGCAAATTAGCCCCAAACTCACTCCAAGTACCACTCCAATCCCCTTCCCCTGTCTGATCTACTGCTCCTTTCCCAGTGCTCCCTGATCTACTGCACTGCTTCCCACCCTATCTGACACTGTGTTGTCTGTCCCCTGATCTGCTACTCACCACACAAAAAGTCTGCCTATGCCATTTGCGGCACACATGTTACAGGTTGTCCACCCCTAATTTAAAAGTTTGAGCTTGGGCTTCGGTTCTTGTGAAAAATTCTGGAAGACATCCATGAGCTCCACAAAACTGGACCTGCACAATGTCGATACAGACTTCCCTACCACTCCCTCATCAACCTGCCCGGGACCATTTCTAGGGCAGTGTTGCCAACTCTCATGACTTTTGTGCTATAGGGTGTTTTGCTTAAAGCCCCAGCCCCTGGACTCATGGGATCACTCAATGAAAGAAGATTCTTACAAAGAAGTGTGTTCAGTCCTCATGATCATGGAGAAAAGCTGGAAAAGGTGAAGGTGCATTCAACTCTTAGGGGTGACATGCCACCTTTGTGGTTGTTGCCTATTCCTTATGTTCAGGATACCAAAAAAATAGGATGAGTGTCAGTTGGGGGATAAGGGTTGGGTTGGGGAGAGGGATACTGAGGTAGATGAGGGTTCATAAGGAAGGGAACCAAGAGCACAAACTCATTCCACATAGACCAATGGGCCATCAAAAAATAATATGTTTCAGTTCCCACGAGTTTTATTTGGTATATAACTATATTGTAGTAGAAGCAAAGAGTGCATTTAGCAGGTTGTGGGGGGATGCCACAGCACAGTACTGGGGCAATAGGGGCGTGATGGGCAGTCATCACCCCAAACAGATTTAGTGGAAAGACGGCAGATGAGATTTCAGAGGAAGAGAGTAAAACAGTAGTGAAGCTGGACTGGATCAGAGAGAAAAGGTGGAGTCTCCTTGGTTGTTATTACAGAAAATGACATGACAAAAGGTTTGATGAGGGACAAATGATGAAGTGCTTCAAGAAGCAAAGAATGGAGTCAAGGGGAACTGGCACCTAGTATACGAACAGCTTCATCCCAGGCAGCAGCTGATGATATCGAAATCCTATCACTGACAGGTCTCCCTCCTCACCAGCACCTCCCCCCATTAATGTGCTTTCTGGTTTATCTTCTCTAAGGATCCCGAAGCTCCAGAGCTAAGTGCAGCTTCCAAGAGTGACCCCATTATTCAATAATCTTCTATCAAGCTGTCCCTTGGCCTGCTGCATCACTCAAAATCCACAGAAATGTTGTAGCAGTACTTCTCTTATCGTGGAAGAACAATCAGACAATTGCCATTCAACAGGCCTGGTGCAGATGCAGACAGGTGCAGCAAAAGTGACATGCACCTAGATACAGGGCCAAATTCTCCCTTCATTTGAACTTGCCCCAACCCACTACGAGGCAGAAAAAAAGCTCAGAGATCCCAGGGGGCAATAGGGTCAGTGATGCTCCCTGCAGGGACCAGTTTGCAGAAGGTACCCAGACATGCACGCTTGGTGCTAATAGCTAGGTGAGGTACATCACCAGCACCCAGTGATGCTCATTCTCCCTGGCAGGTGTCTAGGACATGGTTAGGGTTGCCTCCCTCTCCCTCTGTACGCTTGCACAAAATGAGGCAAAGCACCCTTTGCAATTAGCCATTTACACTTCTCATGGCACCCTGCTCCCAGTCGCTCGCACTGCCTGTGACTTACCCTACAGTACCCAGAGTGGGGAATCCTGTCTTCCCGCTCCCCTCTGTTGTCGTTCCAGCGTCACTGCTGACCTTGCCACAATCACTGATCATCCCGTCTCTGAAGCTGCTGTCAGAACGGCCAGCACCATGACAGCATTCCCAAAAGCATGCTCTCTTTCACTTGGCACTTACACAGCACAGGCATCTCACACTGAACGGACCCCCTGACCACACATCACACACACATCAGCTTGTCTTCCCAAAGGAGACATAAAGCTATGACTGGCCTGATCACACTACCGGTTGTTCATTAAGGAAGAGGCGAGACCTGCTCCCAAGAGCTGATGGTCTGTGCGAATGAAGAGAATTAACTTCCCTTAAGAGGTGCATCTTCTTAAAGATGAGGCTCTATATTATAAGGAAAGGATGGCCCTGGATTTAAGCACAGGGAGGAAGAGGTGGTGCATTTCCCAGCTCTCCCAGAGCCTTCCTGGGTGACGTTAGGTAAATCACTTAGACCACATTTTCAAAAGAAGTCAGGGGCAGATTTTTCAGAGCTCAATTCTCTGCTTAGTCATGCAACTCTTTTCAGAAGTGTTCAACACCCAGGAACTCCCATGTTCACACCCACAACCAAAAGAGGCTGGTTTCAGAAGGGCTTATTGAAAATCTGCTCCAAACGTACTAAAAAGTCTGCCCTCCACCTCTGTGCACCAGTTATCTTCCCTGCTTACAGCCCGTGGCTAGCAGGGATACTGATCCCCTGTATCCCTGCAAACTACTCTGCAAGAGATGGTTTAGAAATACCCTCTCTGAGAAGGGAGGCCAGAGACAGTCTCTCTTTTCCTGTGTGTCTACAGGGGTTCTTGGAGAAAGTCAGATATGTTGCTTGGTCTCAGGCAGACCAGCAGCCCCTTCTTTTGGGCAAAAAGAATGGTCTTTTGTGTTCCCCTCTGCAGGGCTGCACAATCAACCCTCTTCCTCTCCCTGGGGGGGTTTGGGCAAAGGGCCATGAATTTGGTTTCTGGCCAAAGGAAGTTTTGAGTTGTTTGGGGAGGCTGAGGTGGGAGAAGGTTAGTGCTCAAATACGACTCTCCTCCCTCCACAGGCGAGTCTGCTGTGGGTTTTCACAAGCAGAGAAAGCAATAGGACTTTGTAGACTAGGTATCCCTGCTAGACTGCAGGGTTTTTTGAGGGAGGGTGGGCAGGTGGGGGGGAAAGAACAGTCTTTTACATCTTTCTTTGCTAGTCTGTCATCGTCTCCCTCAGCACCATCCAGCACCCCAGATTTCAATCATCCAGCCAGCTAAGGAGGGCTGGATATGTTTCCCATAGTGATTTATGGGGCTGCTTGGATCGCTGAGAGTGAAGGAAAAGTGGTCCAGACTTCCTGGGTTCAAGAGCATCAACACAAACGCAACAGGTAAGCTGGGATCCCCCTCATCAGGCAAAGCAGGGCTCTCGTCCCATGGGGACATACAGAGGCAGCGTGAAAGTATAAAGCCAGCCATACTCCGCGCACACCTTCCAGGTCCTGCCTCCTAAAGCACTGGGCTTCTGGAGCCGTGCCAGACCCGGGCCGCGGTCTGACATAGCTCCTTTTTGTCTCAGAGACACCACAGACTGCAACTACTGCGTACAATGAATCCCTTTGCTGTGACTCTTTACAGGGGCTTGCTAAAATCTGTTTTGAGAACAGTCCTGTTCCAATAGCAAACAAAGATCAGCGTGACCTCTCCTTATCGCTCAGCCTTTCCTGTGTGGAATTCGCTGTGGTCTGTGCCCCGGCGATTATTGCATCACTTCTCTTTATTTGTAACCTTTGGCACACGACAATCTTATCTCGCTGCCGCTGACTGCGCTGCAAAAGATGTGCAGCAACGTTGCTAGCCCAGGCCATCCTCAAACGCTGGAATAAGCCAAGCAAATGAGGAGGTCAGCAAATGAATAGCCAAGAGGCTCTGCAAGCACTGACAGGTAGAAAGAAATCACACTTCTTCACTACCCTGGAAGAATAGGAGGCCTGCGTTTCCTCCTGCTGCACTCACCAATCACAATGAGTGTGTAGTTCACATTCATGCTGCCGAAGCCGTTGGTGGCCTTGCAGATGTATGTCCCCGCGTCATCACTTTCCACCTCCTTGATCTTCAACCCTTGTTGCAGGACTCGGAACCGCGTCCAGCCGCTGTGGATCGTCCGCCCATCCTTCATCCACATAGTGAGAGGGGGTGGGTCACCTTCCACCGGGCACAGGAGCTTGATGGTTCTGCCTAATCGTACTGATTGCCGATGGATCACCTTATCAGCAATTCTGGGGGGACCTGCAGGAGGGAAGTGAAGAAAAATATTTGTTATGCTTTTATTTGCATTGTAGCAGCATCTGCAGACCCCCACAACCTTGATATGATTACTGCTCGACTCTACCCAACTGTGCTAACCAGCTGATGGAAATTTGCTCTAGTGCTCTCTTCTTTCTTCCACACCTCCCCTTGTGTCACAGTGAATCAGCTCCCAGATAGCCAGACTTCTGGTTGTTTTAAACCTAACAAATCCTGAAGCCAAAATTAGTTACAGCATTGGTACTTAAAACAGGGAGTTATAATCCTTTCATGTTTATATGTATAAGCAATTCTCTTTAATAGTCACCAGATGGGCTTTATCAGGACAAGGAATCGTAAGAGTAGAGCAGAGTGGTTCTTGGACACAAAGAATTTGCTGGGTAGCATTTACATGGCCAAAAGGCACAGGATAGCCTGACACGTTAGCACTGCACACAACCAAATGGAGGAATTTGCAAGATATTTTCCTAAATCGCCTCAACCTTCCCCTGACAAGTTTGCTGTTCTGACCTGACTGCCGAATTGTGTGCTGCTTGTACAAGGTGATAATTTCCCGCAAAACAAGGTGTCCTGGAGTGCCGGAAAATGAACATACTGTGCTGTGTGATAATGATAAATGCTAGGACAGGCTAACCAGTTGGAAAAAAAATGATAAGGACTCCCACACTGCGAACCTTCCCCCAAATACAAAGCTGAAATCAAACCAGGACTTCCTCTAGGATTCTGTTATGTTCAGGTCTCTTTTCTGTTCCCACTCATTGAATGTGTGTGACATTTATGTAATGGATTGATTGATGAAGTTAGGGTATCCCTTATCGTGGTAAAAAGCAAGGCTCTTCCCAGAATACTTCAAAAACAAGCAAGATCATTAGTATCCTGTTCTTGAATAATGCCAAACCTGCTTTAATTAGGTCAGCTGGTACTGCAGTCCTTCAAAGCCACTGGGCTCCCATGGAATTTAATGCAGCTCAAAACCAGTGCCCAGCATCCTCAGGGGCAGACCTTTTCTGGTGTAGGTTGTTACAACGTAAGACCTGCCATTTACTGGGTCAGACCATAGGTCCACCTTGCCCAGTATCCCGTGTCACACATGGATGCTGAAAGGACGAGTGAACTGGGTATGACCAGGAGTTTTTCCACTATGCCTCTCACTTGCAGCCTCTAGCATTTAAGGTCTAGGAAGTGCTGATTTAGAGGCTGCACCCCTAACTCTCTTGCTCAATAGCTACTGATGCACCTTTCCTCCAGAACTGTGTCCAAAACCATTTTGTATCTGACTAAACTGTCAGCTTCCACAACACCTTGAAGCAATGAGTTCTACATTTTAATTATAAACTGTGTGAAAAATAACTTTCTTTTGTTAGTTTTAAACTAATGACCTACCATTTTCAGTTTGTGACCCCTGATTCTTGCATTGTGAGAACTTGTTGGCTAGTAAGAACTTCCTTATAAGCCATCCCTGTAACTTCAGCGAGGTTGTTAGCATGAATGAACACCACCATGACTAAGGGAGTTCATGCAACCAGCTCATCGATGACTAAGGGCCGGATTCTCTCTCCCTTACTCATGCTGAACTGCACCCGGGAAATCCCAATGACGTCAACAGGATTGTGGGTGGGTGAAGGTGCTGTTCAGAGTGAGTAACACTGCCAGAAGCTGGCCCTTAAATAATTAGTTTAATCAAATGCCCAATTAAGGCAACAGTCCCATATCAGCCTCCGGAGCTTGACAGATATGAGCTCTACTGAACGGTGAAGAGTGTGCAAGTCCCCTAGGTACAGCTATCCTGGAGCCAGTCCAGGCAATGAGAGTCACAGCACACCATAGATAGCATCTGCTGCAGGCACACATGTGACAGGAGCGGTCTCTTCAACAAGACTGCTATTCCAGACTCCAGGAGAAATATCACGGTATCACAAGAGGGGCTGCCGAGCTAGGACTGTAAGCTTTGCAATGAAGCTCTTCTTGGGAGCTCTCTGGTCAGATTTGCAAAGTAAAAAGGATTTGGACGGTTTGTGGAAGTATCAAGGACTTATCAGAATTCTGTGCCTTTGGGGGATTCATCCATCACCAGGAAATTATGAGCAGAGGACAAAGACCTCCCCCACAAATTCAGCTGAGCTTATGGTTGCAGAGCAGGACCTATTCCACAAGCAGAGGAAGCAAAATACAGAGAGATTTGCACGCTAGCAGAAATCTTTTATCAACCACCTCTAATTTGCAGTCAGATTCTGCCAGGCTTATTCCAACCAAGTCAAACATTTAAGAATGGCCGTCTGGCACAATCCATTGCATAGCACGGTACAGCAGAGCGAGGAGGGATGGGAAAAACAGGCTTATAATTAGGAGGAGTGTGTGCCGTAGGGCAATGGGGGACACTGGCGGAGGACTGCCCTCCTCCCAACTTGGAAACCCAGTTGTGTCGTCTTCAAAAACCTTTTCCTTCCGACATTCGAGGCGACTCCTGACAAATTTTTAGACTAGCAATCAGATAGTTTCCCCGTGGCATCATGCGAGTCACTGCCGGCAGATTGCCTGAGCTGTTCTCCTGCTGGCAGCGGGTCGCCCCCGGCCTCAGCACGTGGGTAGGGTAGCGACAGGCTTGGCCCTCTTGACTGCCATTTTCCTTCAATTGACCTTTCATCCCGAGGAATTCTTGGATCGCTCCCCTGTCATAAGATCCCCATGCAGACCTTTGCGTGGTCTGAAAAAAAGCGAGTGTTTCAGAGAGCCTGCTTAGAAAAGAAAATGGCCGCATCGCCCTTTTATCTTACCCCCACGTTCTCATTTGCCCTTCAAGAGCCTCCGCCCCTACATCCCCCGTGCTAGGATGAGAGAGAAAAAAATCCCCGGTCTCTCTGCTGCCACGCGTTTCCCTGGGGGCAGCCGCACGTACTTCTCAGTGGGAAGCAATTCCGGGGGATGGATGTAGGCAACGCAAGCTAAAACCATGTCCCCGATTGCTGGCCGTGATAAATATCCCCATTTTATTACCTATCATCATTATTATTAATAACTCCCTACGTAAGCAGCACTCTCTCTCTGGAATCAATCCCTCCACATACGCCAGAAGCTTCAGAGGCCCTGGCAAGCCCATGGCTGTCATCATGCTACAGAGAGCTGGACCTCCTCCTATAGATGGTTACGGCAGAGTCACATGTTGGTGTCCTGTCATGGGCCTCTGCATCTCTTTTTAATGTGCAGGAATCTCCTGGGTCTTATTTCACTACATATTTGCCAAAGCCCTGCTTTGGGACTGCAATGGTGACGGATGAATGCTTTTCAAGTTAAGATAGGCTTTGGCACACCTCGCAGTTCTGTTTGTCCTTTGGCATTTTGGGGGAGGCAACTGGGAGGGGCAAACATATTTTGCAGAGAGACCACCCAGAACCTCCCACGTGCCCTGAGTGCCAGCGACACAGATCTTGTGGAGCTGGGCAGCTCATATCATACTACTGTTGGGATCTCACATCACCCAGCTAGACATGAAACCCCTGGATATTTAAAAAGCCCATAGCGCTTCATGTGTGGCTTGAGTTTAGCCAAGTCCCACTTCTCTCTGACAGCTCCAGTGCAAATGCAGCCCCATCTTCTATTATATAAGCCATCAGCAAAACCCTTCTGAAAGGCTTGTACCGTTGACACGAGCAAATGCTGCAATGGCTGCTTTAACCCTCCACTCCTCCAATGCTTCAGCACTTGACCTCGTCAGGTATTTGAGAGGATTATCAGCCAGAGACAGACAGGCACAGTGATACAGATAATTATTTTGTCATCCTCAAGAGCTACATACTGGGAGTCCAATCCAGCAAGGCACTGAGTGCTTTTGAAAAGTGCCGGTCACCTTGAAGTCAAGGGAGTTCAGCGCCTGCAGAACTGGCCCCTACAAGCACCTTGCTGACACGAGTGCTGCCCTCTGCAGATCCCGCATGGCTGGGACAACCGTCAGGAATCGCTGCATCTCTCTGATTCTCCAAGTCCACGCCATTCTTTGTAAAGGGCCCCACACCTGGGTAAGGGTGATGGGTGCCCGAGGGCACATCACACCAGTTCTCTCCTCTCTTGTTCCCTCTTCACTCTCTGTTCCCACTCTCTTTTCTTTCTCATACGTATCCCTGCCTCTCTCCTTTCTCCATCTCGCTGGAAGGCTCGGTGTTTCCCAAGGTACGGGAGTGTGCGGGAGCAGTCGGGCTGCGCGTGGCAGAGAAGCAGAGCAGAGAAACTGAGCCTACACCCCTGTAAACATGACCTGTGCCTTAACGACTGCAGGGAGAGTCCTCTAGCCTTAGCTCAGTCCTCTTGTCTTAGCTCAGCACGCCTTTTTGGGAGGCATGCCACACATTAGCTCTGCACCCTCCCTGAGCAGTGCCACTCTGATCCCCTTTCCCTGCCCAATCTGCTGCTCTGCTTTCTGCTCCCAGCCCTGTGTTCCCCAACCAATCTGCTGCTCTGCTTTCTGCTCCCCAGCCTTGTGTTCCCCAACCAATCTGCTGCTCTGCTTTCTGTTTCCTGCTCTGTGCTTCCTGACCAAGCTTCTGTTCTGCTTTCTGCTCCCAGCCTTATTTGCCACTGTACTGCCTGTCCCCTTCCCAGTCTGCAACATGTCAAACATAGGGGCTGCCTGTGCCACATTTGTGGCACCTGTACTGCAGGTTGGCCACCCCTGCTTTAGCTCGCTGTTAACATATCCACAGGCACAGAGGGACAGAAGCGGCCTGCCAGGCAATAACAGTTTGAGACCTACTCTCAGTGGAGACACACGTGTGAAAGCCTGTCACAGCCCTGAGAGCCAAAGACCCCCAGCAGACTTTCTGGTGGACCCTGACCCCCCAGCGTGGAGCCAGGAGGTAAGTGGGGACTGCGGCAGGAGGATGCAGCAGCAGCAGAGCGGCAGCTGAGCAGAGCTGAGGAGGGTAACGCCCCGTTCCTACTTAGCCCAGCCCTCAGGGAGCTGCACAACCAGAGCGCACAATCAGAGTGCG